TTTTAAGGCCGATACCGATAGGGGGCCCATTATATCCTGCATCCCTAGTGTTTATATGTATATATATATATATATATCGCTTTTGGTTTTTGCTTTTTATGGACTAATGCAGATTTTATAGATCTGTGTTTAATGCATAATTCATAGTAGATCAGGAATGTTTGCTTTGGGATGGAAACCTTTTAGGTCTAAAATCATTCCTTTATTGGACATTCTGTCAGCTCGTCTGTCTGCTATATTAACCAATATGATGTGTTGAACTAGATCTGCTATTTTCACAGCTTTTGTGAGACACTTTTGTATAAAGTAGGACATTAATTCATAAAAAAGTGTATTTGAATTCTATAAATCAGTTTTCTGTCCAATAGCAATGATGAACTGCACAGCAGCATTCTATACCCAGCTATTGTAGCATCTAGGATAGAGCTGCAGGCTGGGAAAGAATCTGGTTGTTATTCTGAATTGTAAAGGTTCACTTTTTTCGCAACATAAAACTGACTAAAACCTTTTTAAGTTTCAGTTGACTAAAACCGTATAAAAATATAAAATATAATAATGACTAAATTGTGACTAAGACTAATAATAATTTTCGTCCTTAAGACGAAAACAAGACTGAATCTAAGATAGGTCTTTTGTGCATTTTTAATTATGCACAAAAGAGCCCTTTTTTATTTTGCATTTTATTTATTATTGCGTGTTTTAGCTTTGTTTCCTGTTGCTCGGATCTTGTTAAAGATCTAATACTAACACCCCAAGACATCGTGTGGCAAAAAAGCTTTGAGCTGGATAAAAGAAAAGAAGATAAAAGAAAAGAAAATTTGAAACCAAAAGTTTGAATGCGTATATCAATGCAATTTCATGCACTCTATAGTTTTTTAAGGTAATTTAAACATATTGTGATATATATCATGTATTGCGATATAGCCCAAATATATGGCGATATTAGATTTTCTAATTTTAAGCTTCTATGAAGCGACAGAGTTCAGTCTAAAGACCTAAATGGTCGGACGGGTTATGTTGCAGGGTGTGTCTCTGCGGGCTGAGCGCTAACCTGCTGCTGTGAGCGTTGCTGAGCAGCTCGGCCGTGGTGGGAGGGATGCCCAGACAGTCCGAGAAGCCGTCCTCAGGCGCGGGGCCCGTGTCCAGCTTCCCCTCCTCCCTGGCAATCTTGCCTGCAGCTTTAACAAACCAGACGCAGAGGATAAACAAACAAAGCATCCAATTAGCAGACAGCAATTTTTACAGAGTAAATGTGTAAATAAATAAAAACTCTCGACAGCCTCTCTTGCTCTCCGTCTGCTTTGATTAGTTGCATAAACATTCACAGTTATTAAAATTTCACGTCTGGCTTGGTTTCATGAAAGAAAGAAGCCGAAACCTGTTCAGACGGTCAGACTTTACCAAACTAAGCTAATAAATCATTTAATCCATCAGATTCAGACAAACCAGTAAAGCTACAGATCTTCATTTTTTTTAAAGCCATTAGGTCAATTTTAGTTCAGTAGGTGAGAAAAGAAGATCTTGAAGCTTTATTTAAAGCCTTGGTGGATTAAATAAATAAAAAAAGAACACAGCTAAAAGGTTTTTAGTCATTGTTCTCCAGAAACTTTGCTGTCCTGGAAATAATTCCCTTATATTCTGAGCTGCAATTAGCAGCGCTAATTTCCAAAAGTCATGGAGACAGATTAGCAGCATTCTCAGTAATGAGGACTGGAATAACAGCTCGTACATTTTAGGGAAAACAGCATTAAAACAAAAACAGAATTAATTATAGCCTTACCAGTAAAAATCCTCTCATCAAACATTCTGCAGAAGGAAAAAAACAAAACAACAAAAACAGGCTGTTAGTCACAGAGTTCAAAGCCTAATTTAACTCTCAGGACAATAAAATAGAGAAATATTCAGATTGGAGCGCATTACATGTGATTGAGCAAGTCATTAGCGACTCCTTAAGCACATTAACGGCTGTTTAAACAATCAGTCTCACAGAAACAATCACATTCGCTTATTACAGCTGAAACAACCTGATTATTATTGTCGTCTGGCTGGAAAATCAACTCCTACGTCTCTTGGCCACATGCTGCTTCTCTCCCCTCTTGCTGTGATTATGATCGACTTCAAAACCAGACAGATCTTCCTGCGACTCGTGTTTATTTATGCAAACCTTTCATGGTGCAGAGTTCATTACGCTATCTATAGTTATTTAGCCACCTGTCGTATAAAAAGCTGAAGGACGAACTGGATGACATGGAGAAAAGTGAAAGTAAAAATATGAAGAGATTTTACTGATCAGGAAAGATTCAAACAAGATGAAACTGAGCTGTTCAGAACATTAAACTCAAACTGAGTGAGGAATCTAAGTGTTCCCGTCTCGCTTTAAATGAAAACAACGCTTTGGTTTCAGTTTACTGAAGCGTCCCTTTTAACTCCTGCTCCGTTTGCTTTTGCACATCAGAGCCTCGCATCTGAGGGAGACAATGGGAATGTAATATCATCATAAATTAATCCCATTTTTAATCTTGGCTAATTATATTAACGTTAACGAGCTGCCTGCAGGATCGGTAAAAAGATGCTTTATCTCAAACAAGGCATGGTGGCTGGTTTAAATTAGCTTGAACAAATGGGAAGAATAACAGCCATTAGTGCGGCGCGCTGGTGAGACGGAGAGTCACCCGGGATAGTAGTGATTCAGCAGTCAGTGGGATGGGGGGGGAGGCATTTAAGGGACAGATGGTTTAGGCTGGGAGATTCTTTTTACTAAATATGAGTAAAAACTTTGGGCATAAAGCTGTAGTGATGTATTTAGGATTAGGTGCCACTGAAAAAATAAAGTGATTAACTGATTTTTAAATATTATTTCAGTTTATTCCCGGAAAAATTTCAGAATTCCAACTTTTTTTTTTCTCAGAATTCCAACTTTTTTCATAAGAATTCATCAAGCTGTCGCCTTGTCTTGAGACTAAACTAGTCTTGAGTTTTATTCCCCTTTTGCTCTTCCATTAATGAAATAGCATCACCAGCGACCCCCTCGTGCTCGTTATAACTCGCCTAATTTCCACCAGTGTGTTACTGTTCCTCCCAAACAACTCACTTCTTTGTCAGTGAAGCTGAGTGCTCCACATCTTTAAGATTAAGATCCAAAATTCTGAGATTAAAATCAGAATTCTGAGATTAAAATCAGAATTCTGAGATTAAAATCAGAATTCTAAAAAAAAAGTCAGAATTCTCAGTAAAAGAAGTCAGAATTCAGACTTTTTTCCCATAATAAACTACAATAAAATTAGAAAATCAGTAAACTATTTTTTTAAGTGGCCCTAATCCCCTTCCATATAAAGGAGTCATGAAGGGAGGCTTTAAAAATTATTCCCTGAATTGGTAGGGGTGTAAATAATAATCGTTTTGTATCGATGCATCGCTCCAACAGCCGACGATCCGATGCATCGATACGTCCGCAAGAGAATCGATTCATGTTTTTTTTTTCCTCCGGTCTATTTTTATCCATTTGCTCCTGGACGTAATTCTCCCTCCCGTGCTGCGGTGGCGCTAAACCTATTTTGCCCTCCTACCTCGCTTCCTGGTTATACTCTTACAGCAGTGTGTTGCAGTGAGCTTGATGCAGACATTTTTAAATTATGCTCAATATTGAAGCGTGGTCTGTGCTACACACTGTGGGTCTAGATACGGCCGAGGCGGCGAGGAAGTGGGGGCGAGTTTAGTGGAAGGAAATTCTGACTGAATTCTGAGAGAAAAAGTCAGAATTATAAGAAAAAAAGTCGGAATTCTGAGATTAAAGTAAGAATTCTGACTTTTTTTCTTATATTAAATGGAAACAATATTTAAAAATCAATAACTTTTTTTATTTTTTTCCAGTGGCCCTAATGCCTACTGTGCCTGATGTCATAATTGTTAAGATTTTTTTGTATTTTTGTGTTTGTTGTGACGTCTACTAATTGAGTTTCTGTCAGGAGATGTAAAATGACTAGAATGGTTAAATAAAAAGTAAAATAAATAAATAATGAGTCCCTGTGTTTATTACCGTTTGATGATGAATCTAATGCCGTGGCGCTCCTCCAGGATGCGTTTGAGCTTGGGCACGCCGTACGTGCACGGCCTCTTGAAGGGGATCTGATCCGGGATGCCGATGATCTCCACGGCTCCTGGATCGCAGGCGATTTTGCGGTAGGGAACAGGCACCATGTGGTCGAGACCGAGAGCCTCCGCTGAGAAAAGAACAACAAAAATGTTTATTTAAGGGCAGCGTGACAAATTCAGACACCCTCAGATCTAACTGATGGTTATTTCACTGAAACTCTCTGGTCCCATTTTCCTTTAAATCAGGTCCATCATCGTAATCTTTCACTCCATACGATGTCCAATATCTTGGCCTTCACCATCTCTGTGATGCTTCCTTCAAATTTTCCCTTCCTTTCTGTTTTCATTTTTTTCACATTCCAATTCCAACATTTATTTATACCTTTTTAAACTTAAAAAAGAGATTTAAATATATTAAAAAAGTAAATTGCTGGGATTAAAAATCTTTGACAAACATGAGAAAGCTGCTAAAAATTGGGTTTAAATTCAGTTGAACAGACCTGATCCAGGTGTCTCTGAATCAACAGCTGCTCCTTTTCAACCATTTTCTACAAACTTGTTAAAGCCGAAGCAGATTATACTACAATGATCAGAGACTCTTTAAAGCACAGCTCGCCATCTGTCCTCATACTCTTTGTAAAACTAGAGGGTTTGAGACCAGAAACACAGCAGGAATACTTTCATTACTCCAATTGTTTGATGGGAGTGAAAAACAAAACAAAACAGTTCATGAAGCAAATGGTGATAAGATGTGGGAAATCAAAGACAAAGATATGAATTCATTTCTTACTTTAGGGCAGAAGTCTGGAAACTTCTTTTCTATAAACATTTATCTCCATACAGAAATATTTTTTTTTATTACTTGCTTGAGAATAGAAACCCTCATTTTTTAAGACACATACTTACATACACACGATTTTTTTTCTACTATATGTAGTGAGGACCATGGGTTGGCCTGTATAGGTCTGTGCGTCCCTCCATGGATATGCCTCCCCAGACCATCACTGACCCCCCACCAAACCGGTCATGCTGAACAATGTTCCAGGCAGCAGAATTTTCTTCACGGCTTCTCCAGACCCTTTCACGTCTGTCACGTGTGCTCAGGGTGAACCTGCTCTCATTTGTGGAAAGCACAGAGCGCCAGTGGCCGACTTGCCAATTCTGGTGTTCCGTGGCAAATGCCAATGGAGCTCCACAGTGCCAGGCAGTGAGCACAGGGCCCACTAGAGGCGTCTGGCCCTCAGGCCACTCTCGTGGAGTCTGTTTCTGATTGTTTGGTCAGAGACATTCACACCAGTGGCCTGCTGGAGGTCATTTTGTAGGGCTCTGGCAGTGCTCCTCCTGCTCCTCCTTGCACAAAGGAGTAGATAGCGGTCCTGCTGATGGGTTGTGGACCTTCTACAGCCCTGTCTAGCTCTCCTAGAGTAGCTGCCTGTCTCCTGGAATCTCCTCCATGCTCTTGAGATTGTGCTGGGAGACACAGCAAACCTTCTGGCAATGGCAACTATTGATGCGCCATCCTGGAGGAGTTGGACTGCCTGTGCAACCTCTGTAGGGTCCAAGTAGTGCCTCATGCTAACAGTAGTGACAGTGAGCCTAGCCAAATGCTAAACTGGTGAAAAAGAGTCAGAAAAGACGAGGAGGGGGAAAAATATCAGTGGCCTTCACCTGTAAAACCATTCCTGTTTGGATGGTCGTCTCGTTGTTGCCACTCTAGTTCACCTGTTGTTCATTTCATTCACACCAAAGCAGCTGAAGCTGATTAACAACCCCTCTGCTACTGACCTGACCCAATCAATATCCCACAAGTTTAATTAACTTGATGCTTTACTCTGATTACAAAGTGTTCCTTTCATTTTTTCTGAGTAGTGTATATATAAATATATATATACACATACATATCTTCTGATATGAAGGACCACGCCTCTCTTACCGTATCGGCTGTTGAACAGGATTTGAACGCACTCTCTCAGCGTATTGATGTCTTCAGTCTCCCGTATAAAGGAGTCCCATTTTTCTGCAGGACAAGATAATCATAAAATGCAACATGGTGGTTATCTGATGGTTAGCTCACATTAACCCTTCAAAAGAGGTTTATCACCTCAGAGTGTCGCAGAAATATCTGGAATTCCTTTTTTTTTTCTCCCTTAGAGTCAACTTGAAAAACCTGAGCAATCTACTTAAAGGATTACTGCTGACTGATTAGTAACTGAACGCAGGATGGCGATGGTTTTAACCAGAGATGGCAAAAGTACTCACTTTCCGTACTTGAGTAAAAGTACAGATACTTGTGTTAAAAAATACTCTGGTAAAAGTGGAAGTA